TGGAGTGTAGACCAGAGGTATGGGGTGGGGTATTGAGAGGGTGGGTGTTTGTGAGAGGATTCACCAGAGACTGAGGGGGGAGCAAAACAGGCAGATCTCCTAAAATAGACTGATGAAGACAGGAGAGGTCTGCTGCTCCATGTGAGTTAGCTCCCTGGGCCATGGATCGAACTTGTGTGCAGATGACTTGATAGTGCTGAGACTTAATCCCTTGCACCACCAAAGAGGCCCTAAAGTCCTTACTATTTTTTTTCCTTGTATTTATTTTGTTTTATTTTTATAACAGTTTCTTTTTACATCATTTTGTACTTTTTTTTTCCATCTCAATTGTAGTCCCTGCAGGTTTCCCATCACCGAGTCACCTATGTGCCACACCATAGTCCTTACTATTTTTTAAAAAAGAGGAATTATTTAAGTATAAGATTTTAAATTTGTAGTTTTTGAAGGAAAAACTGCACTCTGTGTTCTAGTCCATTATAATACATCTGAAATCTTTGTGAAGACATGTGCCCGATGTTTCATGATCTTTGGTTTCTTTCAGTTTCTGATTTAGAAGAACTGTTCTATGAAGAATGGACAAAATACAATAAAAAGTGTTTTTTAAATATTTTTTAAAAATTTATTCTTTCTGTGACTTGAGTTTTATTCCACTGAGGAATTTTCCTGACTCTAGTTTAGGAGTCACAATGTTTAGGAGTCACTGAACCCATGGTCCCAAGGTTTCTGAAGTATTCTGTTGGAAGGACAGAACTCTTCTGTAGAAATTGAGCCTATATCCAGAATCATCAAAATCCAGAAATCATCAAAACACCTGTCTAGTTTAAGAGATTGTTTTTGACTGCTTTTTTTTTTTCAAAATTAGCAAATAACAACCAAATATTCTAATAAGATACTGAAAAACAACAAACCTGGGTGACTTAGGTTGACCCAGTTAGTGGCTCCCCACCTGAGTACTTATGACTATAGGAAATGACTCAAAAAGGGTTTGTTTACAGGGAGGAAAAAACTGGGACTGGGAAGGAGAGAATGAACAGGCTGGCACTTGGCCAGATGCCATCTGTCCCACCCTCCCATAGCTGAGCTGAAGCTGCATGTGGCAAGCAGCAGCTTCCCCACAGACACCCAGTAACTGCCGAACATTCCAGCAGTTTAACTGCCAAAAACATCAACCTACTTTTTCCTATCATCATCTCCCACTCAAAAGGGGGAGTTTGAAAAGCTCTATCTTCTACTGTACAGTTGGCTATGAGTACATCTAACTGGTTCAAAGTTGCTTTCCCACCGTTCTTATGATATTGTATGGGCAAACATTCCAGGCCTGGCAGGTTCATGGTGGTTTTGGGCAAATTGAAAGAAAAATTGGAGCCCTCAATAGATTTGATAGTCTTTTTAATGCTGGTGCACAGGCATACCAGGGGGGGAGGCAGGCAGCAACTTTGCCTCGCAGCTCTCACACCCCCTCAGCTCCATCTCCCCAGCCACCACTCCAATCTTTGCTTTCTCTGGTTTCTCTCCTTTGTTCCTCTCAATCTGACTCATATTCCCAAGTGTGTTTTGTAATAACATGCTATCTCATATGGATAAGGGAACTAGAAAGGACACAAAGCCACAGGTTGTGGCTGTAGAGGCCGGCGACAGGGTTGAAAAAGAACCCAACTTACTCCATTTTCCTCACAAATACCATTAGTTAATGGGAGTGCTTCCTATAAGTCGTTATATGTTTCTCACTAGACAGTGGTTCTCCATTTTGGCTGCCCCATCATAGTTACTATAAGGATCTGTAGAAACCTATACTGCCCAGGCTGCTCCTCAGGCCAGAAAGCAGAGGCATGGACTGACTTTGTTATCTGCAGTGTTAAAAGCTGCCCAGTAGATTCCAGAACACAGTCAAGGTTAGAATTGCCCCTCTAGGGTTCTTTGTGGTATGGAAGTAAGCTAGCTATTAGAGGACTACCCTCTGTTATCTGAATGTCCTGGATTTTTGGATAGCAGGATGGTAGAGGGGCCCTAGCATGGTGAGTTGGTGAATCAGAATCAAGTTGGAAATCTACCTCTGCAGACAGATGTTTTACTCTGGCCTGCAATTTAATTCCAGCGTTTACATTAATCTTTCACACTTAGTAACATTATAGCAATTTTCAATCACATCAAGAAGTCAGTAGATTCAAAATTTTAGTCCAGTTTGTAGCTATGTGAGGGAGAGCTCTTTATTTAGTTCAAATAAAGAGTTCAATTCAGTGACTTACCTTTGAGAAATTTGAAATTTTATAAATTTAAATTTCAATGGATTGTTTTTATTATCTAAGTATGAGTTTTATGTGAAAATCAGTAGTTACAAGCCTTGTTAATGTATCCTGACTAATGTTAAAATTACTCAAGAAAGGCTATTTTGAGAATTTTGTGAAACACATGGGCATCCTCACTACAATGAGACTTACACCTTCATGGAAGCAAATTTAGAAAATGAGAGGCAGTGAGGGGAAGACTCTGAGAGGAAAGGCAGTGGATTTAGAAACATCTGGGCCTTGCCAATTATTAGTTTAATTATAGGCCAGTCACTTATTTCCGAGTTTTAATTTCCTCACCTATAAAGTGTTAATAATAATATCTAAATTATTTAGATAATAATATCTAAATTATTTCACAGGGAGACTCAGATTAGATCATTCATTTCTTTAGTAAATATGTGATTCACTGAGTTCCTGTTATATATAGCAGGAAGTACTCTAGATGGAAGGATATGAAGAAGGAAAATGTGCCTTTGGAAGGAGTGAGCCTAAATATTAGTCATTGCTCACATTTTAAAAACATTTATATTCTAAGCCCTTTGAAGAACACTTGCTCTTTCATCAATGTCTCCATGTCTCAGTGCCTGGCATATAGCATAGAATGGGCCAAAATATGGGTCATGTAAGTGAATGATTCCCATAACTTATTTCCTTGACATGAACACTTTGTTACTTTAGACTCAAACATATTAAAATGAGTAAAGTATGGCTGTGTTTTCATTTCCTTGCTGGCTTAGTTGTACTTGAACTTGAACATGGTACTCTAACCTGAGATCCTGAGATCCACAGCAGAGGTTAAATTGGAATGTGACTCAGTCTAGGCTAGTACCCTATTTTTCTAATCACATTTTAACATCTGGAGTACCTGTTTTTGGCTAGTGTCCTTGTCATATTTGGTATTAACCTGAACTCCAATATTTTCTTTGGAAAATAAGATAGATTCTTTCCTTGACATCCCCTTATTCAATTAAAAAAGTCACTAAATAATCATTTCCAACAGCTGGGTTTAATCTGTCTGCCTTATGGGAAAAGAGACTGGCTTCAGCAGCACTTCTACCACATCATATGTCTGGATCATATTCAGCACACAGGACTTTTTTCACATGATGGGTACAACTAGCAATGAATTTGTGGTTGTGGATTTGGGTTGTGTCCACATGTTACTCTAAACTAGATCAGGGCTTGTGGTTGGTGTCTTTTTCTACATGCATTTAGGAGAATGTTAACAAATGAAACATCCTTTCATAATGGTTCATGAAATGCTTAGAGGATTTAGGTTCTTTCTCTTTACAGCAGATATGGGGTTATTCTTTCTGAAGCCCTATGTGCCCGGGTATGCATTTGATTTGATGAATCAAATGGAATTTGAAGAATGGAATGTTAGGTCAGACATGATTCTGGCCTGCTACCCATATTCCAGTAGGTAAAAATCAAGGGGAAATGAAGATGCTGTGGTAGTTAGTGCCAGTGGAATTCTGAACTTCAAAAAATAAAGTGGGGGTCCCTCCCTGTTGGCACAGCAGGTTAAAGCACAGCACTAAGAAGCTAAAGCCACTTCAGCATGAGTTCGATCCCTGTCTGCCCCAAAGGTGATCCACATGTCATGGCAGACCTCTCCTGACCTGCCCACTGCTCCCCTCAGTGGTGTACTTCATCAGTCGGCCTGTTCTGCTCCCCACTCTGTCTCTGGTTAATTCTCTCACTGCCCCTGCACCTCTGGCCTGTACCACACTTCTGTATGCATCAATAAATAAATCTAAAAAAATAAATAAAATGGGACCTACTGAAATAAAGTAGGACCTGTAACATCTGCAGGTGCTATTGGAAAAAAAAAATCATAGGATGAAAAGTGATATTCATTATAACATATACTTGTATATTTGTGTGCTCATGTGTTTATAGTTGTGTAATTTCCTTTATCCATAATTGTTTAAATTGATCGTAATGTGTTAAATTTGCTAATTTATTTTGAAGATTTAAGGAAGAAAATTGCATTTTCAGATACTGGTTTTTTACAGAATGTAGGGATCTCATGTTCAGTATGGCTTACAGAGATTTGGGTTTGGGCTCCAGCTTTAATTTAAGTCATCCACTTGGCCCTTGGCCTGATTGCTTCTCAGTAGCAGAGGGTGTACATTATTTTCTCACTTCTTATTTTATAAAGTCAGTGCCACTCCCTGCCTGGTATTAAACATGGAGTTTCTTAGGCACAAGAAGAATGAACAGCCAAGAGGTTAAATATTTTTCGCAGGGTTTCACAATATACCAGACAAGTTGGAAATGAAATGTATGACCCTCCTTTTGTCAACCCTGAGCTTCTGAGTTCTATCAGCACCACAGCTGCACAGGCTTCTTTTACCTTTGGAAAGGTAGAAAAATGCTAAGGACATTTTCAAGCTAAACAAGAACCCTGCAGTTAGGCTTTAAAAGTTGGTTGTAAAAGTACAACTGAGTAGGTTGTAAAAGTAAGGCAACAATGGTTTTGTAGGCTGAGGTGATAGTGCAGCATGTACTGGAAGGCGCCAGTGCCTGCCCTGTGGGTTTCCTAGATGGCAGGGCCTTAGCAAGATAGCACTTCTCTGAGGTCAGTTTCCTGGGATCTGCAGATAGGCTGAGTTCTCGAATTATCATGGTATACAGATTAGGAAGTAAAAAACCTCAAACGCATCCAGCTTGCACTGACTGTTTCGTGCCTCTGTTATGCTTTTTCAGAGTGCAAATTCACCTGCACCAGTGGTAAATGCTTGTATCTTGGGTCACTAATCTGTAACCAACAGAACGACTGTGGGGACAACAGTGATGAAGAAAACTGCCTCCTGGTGACTGAACATCCACCTCCAGGCATCTTCAACTGTAAGTCCTTCCCCCTCACCTGGGCAGCTTAACTTTGATTGTGTTTCTGTAACAAGAGGTAGGGTCATGGGAAATGGGGAGGATCTTGGAGTTCTGTGTTAAGAAAACAGTTTAGCATTTTCACAAAGGGTATGTTTTCCTTCTTTTAGGGAAGAAAGATGGTGTATATCCAGGTGGGAAATTCATCCTACTTACACTTTTATGGCACTTTGTTTTGGAATAGGTTTTGGCTACTTGAAGCACTGACTAGATTTCAAGATATATTAATTTAGTATTTCCTATACCAATTTTATGTACTCTGTATAGTAATTTTAAGTAACAATTTTAAAATAATTTTAAGTAAGCAAAGAAAGATGTGTTAAAACTATCCTGATCATGTGTATTTCTGTCTGATGCTGGATGGAAAACAACCTAAGTGGGCTGTTTACATGTGTCACTCCCCAGGACTAAGGATGTGAGTGTTTCTTAAACTTTAAAAAGGTGCAATCAGTTTGAATTTCACTGATCTTTGATCTCATGGTTCTTAGTCAGAGAAAGGCAAAGGAAGGCAACTCTGAACCATCCTGGAATTCTCTTAGGAGAAGTGCCAGATGGTCTGCTGTGCTTCCTTTGGCTGAGGGCAATGGGGGTAGAGGGTGCTTTGCAGTAGAACATCCTGGATGACTGTTCCCAGCCCTGACCCCCTTCATGGAGTCTTACTGAGATCAAAGTGCAGAAGTTCTCTCTCAGTCTTACTGACATTATTTTGAAGTGTTAAAGGTGTTTTTATTTATAGATTTTGCGGTTATTGTTATGGAAGTCACCTTCCATAACTATTGGTACCATAATTTGGATGTAGGGTGAAATTTAAGAACAGTGATTTTTGTTGTTTCCACTGTTTTTTTTTATCTTCAAGCTGAGAAAATGACTGTGCCTGCTATTTTGACTTGCAAAATTCAACAATGTAATAGTACAATAATTTTCCTTAAGTTTTTCTGTTGTGTCAGTTTTCTATAATGAGCATTATTAGGTTCCATCCTCACTTTGAGAAGGTTAGGTTGTGTGTTTTCGTGGTGCGCAACACACGTTTCATTTGGTGGTAGTCTGGGCAGTAGTCTTTGCAGCTGTCTACACTGTCACTTGCCTGTACCGATGAAAGAGGTGTATGAAGTGTTGCTGGGTTGCGGTCCTGGTCCTGGCAATTACCCGATAATAGAGCTATTCCATGTTCCCATCTGCAGGAAGGGGATATGACAAGGGGTTTAATGGGAGCTAAGTGAAGGAATCCTTAGAAACTATTGTTCAGGTATAACTAGAACTTGTGTCCTTGTGGCTAAAGTGAAAGATTACTTACAATGTGCTCTCTTTCAAGAGCAGAGAGCCAGGAGACAGAATGACACAGGTGAGACCACAGTTGTGGCTTCAGATTTCCTTGAATTGATTCAAGTTCCAGCTAAAGACAGTGATTGAACCACTTTTAAGGTTTAGTTTCTCTGTGAAATGAGAATAATTTTCTGCCATATGAGGTTGCTAGGAGGATTTAAGTGAAACTATACTTAAAGCACAGTTATATAGAGTCCATCTTTTCTGTCATCATTGTATGGCTATGTTTTGGGAGGTGGGCCACGTGATTTTGTATCATTCATCTTTAATACCAAGACTACTATTCATATGTAATAGGAGTTTTCAGGTGTTTAGAGGTGAGCTTGTCCTCAGAAATTCTGGATGTTTTCCACTAACTCTGTCCCTGGGGAAGGTCTCCTGGGAGGCCTGCCAGTTGAAAGCTGCTTATTCTGACCCGGCGCTCACCCCCAGCACTGCCCTTTTCCTTTCTGCATCCCCAGGTTCTCTGCAGACACCACAGGGAGCTGACTGACTTGGTGCATCAGGATCCTCACTCTGTTGTAGCTTGTCTGTTGTGGTCAGGAACCTTTGGGAAAGGTTGTAGCATCCCTGTTCTTTGTTGATACTAGAGAATGATTATATATTACTAAATATGTATTCTCTTTCCTGTAGCTTGTTGACCAAGGATACAGAATAAACAAAGAATATTTTACTTCCTATTAATAGCCTTGTAATGAGGCTTAGAGGCTCTGATTTGTCAATGGGTTTTAATGGATCTCCCTGTACATTTCTCACAGCAGGTAAGCAGTATGCCCTTCACAGAGAGCTAATTCTGACAATAAGGCTCCCTCCTTTTGCCTCCACCTATTTGAAGGATTTTTTTTTGTCTACAGTTATTATCTTCCTGCCACCGCCACCCCCCCAAAACAAACAAACAAACAAACAAACAAACAAACAAAAAACTAGCGTTTCCCACTGTTCCAGTTTAAGAACAGGATTAGTTGTAAGATCTGCTTTGCCCCTGCCTGGAGGAAAACTTTCAATATTCTGCTATTTTATTTTACTTAATGTAAAATAAGATGGAATCTTCTGGATTTTCAGATGAGCTAAATCAGCGTAGAATTAACCTGTTTGCTGTGGGCATGAACCATGGCTTAGATGTCTTGGTCATCTCTGTCACTCATTTGATAAATGCCAAAGTTTAGCATGAATTCACATTAGAAAGAAAACTATAATTTGTGAAATCAGCAGTGCTAATAATAATGGAAGTCCTTATAATGACTGTAAACAGCTTTTCCCTTCAAAAAATATTTTTGGAACTTATTACTCGGCCTCTTTATTTTGCTGACTATGGTCAGGCTGTCCACTAAGACTAAACTACTTTTCTGAGAGCCCCAACAGAGATGTGGAGGACTATACTAGGCATTATGGGGGAGTGAAAGGTTAACAGATTTTGTTACTAAGGTATTGGCAGTCAAGTTGAGAAACTGAAAGACATAACATTCAAAGATAACTGAAAATAAACCAAGGACTGTGATAACTGAGCAACTCCAGCAGTTGGTGGTTCAGTAATTCATAGAGAATCATTCTGGTTGGATTAGTACTCCTGGTGGCTTAGTGGAGGAGATATGCTGGGTGACATGGTGAGGATTGAGTGCCAGGGCCAAAATAGTAGGAGTGTGGAGAGACGGATGGGAAGCCCTAACTTACCAGAAGGCCTGGGCTAGGAGTGCCTGAGATAAGTGTGGAAAAGTAAACTAAGTTCATAGGAAAATTCATGCTATGCATTCTTCCCTTTTCTCTAACAAATGTGGATTTCACTCCATGTGCAGGGATGCCTCCTGGCTATTGTCACTCTGGATAATGCTGGCATCTGCATTTCTTCATTTTCATTTGGATCCACTACCTCACCATTCCTGCCAAGCGATTACACTATATTTTCAAGCTCTTTTGCCACATCTTGGTGGGGTGAACAGAGTTCTTTTACTTTCCAGAAGCAATAATCGAGTAGTCTTGGAGAGAACTGTGTCATCTGAAAATGTTGGCAAGAACAAACCTTCCTTAAGTAATCACTGCTGAGGAATTCATGCTACTAGACCCTAAGAGTAACTCCCCCCACACCAAAAAAAAGAGTAAACCAAAGTTGAAAGGAAGCCAAAAGTCAAACAGAACAACTTTCACTTTCAGCTTCAATGGAATTTCCAATTAAGTGAGAGGAACCTATTCAGGGAACGTGGGGTATGGTGGAGCCACCATTCTTATTGGAGGGGTAAGTTGCTTCATTCTCTATAGGTGGCCTCATAAAATAGAATCTCAAATTCAAATGAACTGAAACTAATAAACTGTACCTAATGAAGCCAGGATTTTAACTTCAAGACTTTTTCAGAAGGAAACCTTTTTTTTTTTCTTGCCCAAGGCCATTTAAAGTAATGACAACCATGTAAGATAAAATTTAGCATATTGAAATCTGAGCTGAACCCTTTTATTTTCTTACCAAAGGGACTGACATTCTACTTGTCACTAAGTCTCAAGACATCTATCAAATTTATGTACTAAGGCCACACTATCCTCTATTTCACCTTTGACTGTTGATATCTTTTCAAGTATATTTGTCTGTTTATTCATTTGCTCAGCTTTATTGAGATGTAATTGACATATGGCGTTGTTCATGTTCAACATGTAGAGCATAATTACTTACCATACACGTATTATGAAACGATTGCCACAATTAGCTTAGTAAACACCAAGTGTTTTGTGTTTGGGACCAGGCTTATAATCATGTAGCAAAATTCTACAAACCAGCTAAAAACTGGATCTTTAATTTTGTTTATTTCAGCAATTCATTCTCTACTATCATCAGCTATCCTATAAGAGTTCATATTTCTCCAATTATCTTTATTTTGTTTTAATTACATTTTGTTTGAATCAGAATTCAGAGAGCCTCTATGATGGATTGGTATGTCTCCAAGAATTTCTTACTTTGCAGGATTTTCCCTCACCACCCTCTCCACAATACTTCTTGTGATTTTTGATGAAAGGGTCTGGATTGTTAGTTGTGGTATTTCACTTAGTGTAATCCACTGTCCTGTATAATTCTGGTAAATTGGTAGTTAAGTCTAGAGACTTGGGGAGACTCAGGTTTAATGTTATATATGTGAAGTGACTTTTTAGATATCATTGTTTTCCATCAGGAGGCATGTTCTCTCTGTTGTGTGTGTTACTAGAATCATTATGGGTTACTAAACAGTCATAACCTAATTCTGTCCTTTTTCCTCTATTTAAAAGGGGAGCTGCTTCTTTAAAGAGAAATCCACCATCAGTAAGGTGATTACCATGAGATTATCACAAATAAATATCATATTGGGTCAAGTTATTTTTTAATAATGAGAAGGTTTCCTATTGTCTTTAGAAGTCACCAATGAAGTTTTCTTTATGAGCCACTATGAATTAGTGAATTAAGATATTTCATGTATACCCATGACTTTTCTAGAAAACGCTCTCTGCTGCATGTAATGACCAACTCCCAGGTCATATCCAGGGTTCTGTGACTTCTAATGGCCAAACAAGTGCAGGGTCAGAATCCTGTACTTCAGCTCTAGGGAATCTCTGGAGTTCACTCCATCTTCTTATCTGGTTGACTCTCCCTTGATCAAATGTCCACAGTATTTGCTTATCTG